ATGACTTATAGCAGCAACAACATTTTTATTGTGGTTTCTCTCGTAAGTTAGGTGAAAACTCACCACCTTTGAAGGAGATATTATAGTCTTGGGCCTAGTCTTTCTTCTGGTTGAACTCCGACAATCCTGTGTTAGAATTCATCAGTAAGTTATATAAACTAACAACTCATCAAAAAGCACTTAATCACTTGTTGGCTGCTCTCTTCTTCTTCCTACAACTATCTCAGAAGCTTCACCTATTTTGAGACCAGTATCGGGCCTAGTCCTCTTTCTGGTTGAAGTCTAGGAAGCCTCTGAGGCAAGAGTGTTGAGCCTAGCCTTAGTTCTCCTCTATCTGAGCATCTTTGATGAAGATGAAGAGGTAGGAGAAGTTGCTCGAGCCCGAGAACTAGCATCTTTTATGGCTATATCTTCATATTGATTCAAGGCTACAACAAGAGGGATCCACTAACTTCCATACCCTTTAAAGGGTTGGGGAACATGAACTTATTCATCTAATAGAGCAAGAAGTCCATGTGCTCTTGATCTCTATTGGTGGAGAAGGACGAGGGGCCATACTTGCTTTTAAAATAGCTGAGAAAGCCAAAGTAGTAGGTCGCACAAGCCTGAAACTCTGAAGATAGATACTTAATCTTCACTGTTGGTAGAGTGGCCTCAACTTCTCTTTTCTTCTTCTTCGACTGCAAGTCCCAGTGAGACGACTAATCCTTTGAGACGTCAATACACCTACCTCATGGCCACATACCAAACAGCTGAGCCATTCTGAAATCAAAAGTATTGGTTGCATTATTCCAGAATAGCAAGGCTGCACTGAGCAGTTCGGGCTTCAGGGTCACAGAAGATTTGGACATCATAATTCAGGTCGTAAATCCCATTCAGTGCCCATCTTGCTATAAAGAATGGTTCTCGAGCATCAACCCACTTCGACCACTCTTGACCAGAGGCGGTCGGGAAACCTATAGAAGCGTTACTCCACCTGGTCGGGCAAATTCCCTTCGAATTAGAATAAGGAGAATGAGAGAGCTAGGTGGCTGGAGGCATATTGTTCTCAACTGCATCTGACATTTCTTGGTACCACACAGGGTCCAAATAGTAGGATTCCCATGGTGAAAGTAGACTGGAAGGTTCAGACCACCTTGCACTTTGTAGAGTGTTCGATCGAGTTCTAAGGCTGGTAAGACCTTCATCAGACTCATGACGAGAAGCTGTTGAAGTCGACATGGAAGAATTGATTGAGAGTTTGAAATTTTCTGGAACGGATAGTTGAATTCAGTTTTCGGAAGATGATATTATCGATCTTTCGAAGACTTAAAGTTTTCTGGAAACTGAAGGTGAAGTGAAAATTGATAGCGTGTTCCCTTTTATATCCTTAAAAATTTGCCCGTTAGAGCTAGTGGATTAGAGGAAAAGTTTATGCTAATAACGGTCACTTAATGGTGATAACCCCCTTCCCGACAAGCCGAAGGTTAAAGGTTTTTTATAATTAAGCCTAAATTAAATTGCTTAATTACATTTAAATGGAGTAACATTAGCCCTGTTCGAGGCTCAATCTCTTGTTAGTAGTCACATCAACTACTAGGAGGAGAGAGAATTACTTCGAAAGGAAGATGTTAGAACTAAAGGGCAAATTTGTTCTATATAAGCTAGCAGAAAGGCAGAAGACAATGACACTCAACTCATAACACAAAAAGACTTTAAACCTCTGCAACCTACCTTGTCCAATTTACTTTTGTAATTTGACTCCTTTGTAGCTGCATTTACGTTTAAATCTCTGCTACATTGCAAGTAGTATCGATTGTCTGTGGTATCTCCTGTCAGTTGATCACAATGAAAGAAAATCATGAAACAGAGAAAGTGCAACATATCTGACCTTGAAAAAGTTGAACCGGAGTGATAGAAGTAGGAGGAGGAGCAGAAGACGGGCCTTGAAAAAGAAAAGTACGGGCATCTTTCGAAGGAGAATTCGAGGGATAGGAGTAAAAAGCAATCGTAAAAGAAAAACAATCAGAAATGACGCGATCCATGAACGAAAATCTGACCTTCATGAACAGGACTGATAGGAAGAGCAGATGATGGGCCTCGAAAAAGGGATGTACGTGCAGATTTCGAACGTGATGCAGGGAAATAGGAATGTAATTGCTTCTGTCCTCCACTAGTACTCCCTGCAACTCACATAGCCAAAGTGCCAAGTTTCAAAGAGACGGATTAACGGTCCATTACTAATCAACGGTTCACTACTAATCACATCGATATTGTCCTAGTTTACATCTATATATTAGAAGTGAAACCTTTCTTTATATATTTTAATTCATTTAATCAATTGATAGTTTTCCGTAGGATTCTTGCATTCTTCGAGAGAATAGCAGAAATCGCTTTTAAAAATAATCAGCTAAGAAAACCCGATCAACCAAAACAAAACAACCCATGAAGTAAAAATCTGACCTTGACGACCAGGACGGATTTGGGAAGCAGAAGACGGGCTGTGAAGAAGCGGAGAAGCAGCAGGGCCAGACTTGGAAGGGGAAGGGGAAGGGGAAGGAGAACGAGAACAAGGGGCACATTGGTACTTTTCGCGCAGCAAGAACCAGATGTATCCACTGAGGTTTTTGATCTTTTTTTTAGTATTGGAAATTTTGCCGAGGAGTTCGAGTGCCTTCTCCTCCCCCAGCAAACCCAGCCTCCTTCTCAAATCAGCGCCCGGCTGCGGCTGCTTTTTCTCCTCACAAATGGCGTTCAGTTTTTGCTCCACCGGCAGGGGCAGAGGCACATGGACTTGCGGTTCTGGGCAATCGTCTCCGGCCGTGGCCGCCGCTGCTGAGCGTGGCTGGGAAAAAGTTCCAATGGCGGAGGTGGGGAGTTGAGAGTAACTGAGAGAGGAAGGGTCGGGATTTGACAAAACAGGTTCATCGAAACCAACATCCGCAATCTCTGTGTAACTGCGTTTGGAGTTGCTGGAACCGTAATTATGCGGATGATCCATTAGTTAACTTTGTAATTAACTGGGAAGGAAGAAAGGAAGGAAGTTTGCTGACAAAATCCAGTTGATTTCAAACCGGGTGTTTAAAAGGAGCTACTACGTACTATTCCTTTTTCCATTCCATTTCTTCTTCTTCATGTGATCTGAATTCACATGACGTCCCTCTGCCATGTGAACCAGACCAAGTTTATATTTACACTTTTTTGATCTTGGGATGAACCGGACCAATTTTTCTGTGTACAGAGACTTTGGATTGGACCAAGACTCCAAGCTGAACCATGCGCGACAAGGTAAAGTGGTTCTTCATCCTTCCTCGAGAAGTTACAGTACCTTAGTCACCAAGTATATCATCCTTTTTCAGCTCTTTTCTTTTTCCTTTAGGGCTCTTTTATGCATGGTCCACTGGTCCATTAATTTTTTAGGGTTTTAACGAAAAGTTCACGGTACTGTTTACTTTAACGAAAAATTACATTTTTACACTAAAAAGTGAATCATAATACTATTCACTTTATCCTTTATTTTGTCCTTATCGTTAAAACTCAAAGTTTTCAAGCCATTTTCATTAGTTTTCCTTTAATTTTTAGAGAACTTTAACGAAAAGTTCCCTATACTGTTCATTTTAAAGAAAAATCATATTTTAAGTCAATTATGGTACTATTAATTTTATCTTTTATTTTGTCATTTTCGTTAAAAGTCAAAGTTTTCAAATATTTTTCATTAATTTTCTTTAATTTTTAACCAATCTGACTCAATTTCAAACCATAAATCACGTTTTAATATACGAAAATTAATGAAAACCTCTATTTTATATTTTTTACATGGTACGTAAACCACGAGGTCATCATCGTTGTGTTCGGTTTAATTATATAATATTTTGTATAAATTCTTTTATGCCTGATTCGTAACAGTAAATCTGCTTTATGTGTAAATTGTTGAACAACTTTACCTCCATCTCCATGTGCAGCTTAAGATTCTGTATAATGATGCAGATGGAATTTTCAATAAAAAAGACTTTTCAAGCACCAATAAATAATATAATAAAAGAAATATTATCGAAATTCTCTCAAATTGACATTTTTTATAAACTTTTACATCTTATATTTTTTACATAGATAATACTAAAAGAGACTAAATTTGTAAATTAAATGATGTGTTATTAATATATTGAGCACGTATATCAATATTTAAGTAATAATCTAATCATCAATTTTCATTTCATTTATTTTATAAAATTTTGTTTACAAATTTAGTCCCATTGTATTACCCTTTACACAATATTTATAATATTTAACAAAAATTAACGTTAAAATATAAAATTTACAAAGATTCCTCTTTGAGATAGCATTTATGATATGGAAGAATCCAAATAATATTATTATTGGGATCTGCTGCCTTGCTAAGTGTCAGGGACACAGTAGTCAACTGTTGGATTTTTTTCAGAAGCTTACCAAACATGGCAAACACTTTCATTGGTGACGGCAGAGTTTGAGATTTTGTAGTAGAAAAATTAAATTAAACTTATCCAAAAACAATTAATATGATGACGAGTAAAAATATTTCTCAGGACTTTTGCGTCTTTTCTACTTTGACAATGACATACTACAAATATTTTTCAAATGACTATCATATTGTCATTGTGTTTAAATTGAAATTTCAATTTTTGCATGTCTCTTTTCACTTGCCCTAATTACCGGAACAATCCACCACTCGTAAAAGTAGTGCAAAAATCACTTTCTTAAAGATTTGTTCCTTCATTCCAACAGAATTTTATTGCCTTTTCACAATTTTCGACTCTTATGTTATTAAATTAACTGATTGATAATCAAATATTTGGGAAATGATTTTTGCTTTTTCATATATAGTCATGAATAATGTTACATTGCATTATTAATACAGCATTTACTTGCACACGTCTTGCCTCCAAGCACGTTCACAAGTTATACACAGACGATACATAGAGGGGGTGCCTCGGTCCTCGGATGAATATTTCAGCCGAGGAACTTGAGCCCCCGTACCCCTTTCATTAGAGGATATCCTTGAGAACAGAGAACGAGACTTCAAACGTGCGGTCCTCGTGTTTGGTCTTGTAATACTTACAGAGAGCTGAACCTGCAACTCTCCATGCAAGCCCACATTTCCCTATATCGTTTACTTTCCAAGCGTAGTCATATGCGAAACGATATATGGCGAGTGCCTCGTTGAATATTTCATCCAAGGGCCTCGTGCTCTTCTCGAAGTCCTCACAGCCATACAGAATCTGCAAAAATAATTTGAGACAAACCAGTGAGAGCAGAACAGGCACCGGAACATATGACAAGTCCCGAAATGTTTGTTCATTAATCTTACCTCTTTATACCGTCTTATGATCTTATCAGCAGCTTGATTCTTGCCCTCTTTGTCATCGTATTGCAAGACACGGTTCATTTCACTCCTGTACTGCTCGTAGAGTTTGTACCACTTCTTCAAGCACGGCTCGGGGAGTTCTTCAACATCAAAACACGGAAGTTTTTCCACTACTGCATAAGGGCACAAGAGCAAAGTCAAAACTCTTGTTTTTCTATGGATAGCAACGTATGTAATATGACTAGCTAATATTAAAACATTTCATCACCTTTGTCAGAAGTGTCTTCCGGTTGATATTCCTCCACTGCGTCGTAAATTGATCCCAAAATGGAAGTTGATTTGTAGGAGTTGGGCTTATCCATGTAATGAGGGAATGACCGCGGTTTCAAATCATTGGGGATTTCGACCTGTTACTCAGACGTGAAATTCAAGTTTTAAATCATCGGAGATCATACACAAACAGAAAATAACCAAACACTAGCTACTGAGTTCCCATTCCAATGCATGAACTTAAAACAGCAAGAGGGTGAGAATGTTCTTGCACCATATGCAATCGAATCAAAGGGTAATCGAAGATGGACAAAAGTTCCATTTGTATAACATCCAGGAGAGAAAGTAAGATAATAATAAAGTCATATTGATATCATTCAATAACATGACTGAAGCACAAAAGAACAGAACTAACCTTTCGACATTTTTTTGGAGCATCCAAAGCATCGTAGTATAAATCAATCAACCGCAGCATTTTTGCCTTCGTAAGGGTTTTCTCATGACCATCTCCCAGGGTCAAAAATTCATCCATATAAGCCAACCAGTAGTCAGAAGCCATACCCATCGCAAAACTGAAAAAAACAGAAATTATTTTGAGCACCAGAAACATAAGACTTGCTGTGGATGAAATGTTCGATTTATAAACAAATTTAATACAAATAAGCATGAACCATAGCCAGAGAGTTCCGTCTCAGTCTCAACAAATAGGGAGATCTACCATCTGATATCATATCGAGAAGAATGGAAACCAAATTAAAACGAGGTCCAACAATTACTTGATACTTTGTAAAGGTCAAGAACGTACTAAACGTTAATAAGGAAAATTCTAATTTAAAGTTTCCTTTTGCCAGTAGAATTACTGAACTATGCTACCTTAAAGCATTCAAAACGATATCAAAAGGTTCTACTTAAGCTAAGAGCATTAACCATCGAGAAAATAGTAACTGCAACACATTTGGAACCTAAATAAAACCAGAATTTCAATGTAATTCAACCGAAATGGGTCTAATACAGATTCACCATACCTCGGTTCAAACCTAGTTGTCAAGAATTGTTTAAAGAGCGCATCCTCTATATGATCGGGCAAAAGCGCACTTGGTGGTAAGGTGGTGGCAGCTTTGGGCGTTGATGAAGTATCGATCCAAGGTTCACCTTGTTTGAAACATTCTAAAAGCTGAAATAATTCCAAGAATTAATGATGAACAAAATTATTTCCATTCCATTCATAAACTGGTTAAGTAGTTCTAGATGGTCTGTGCATGTTGAAGTTTCAAAATAATGACAAAGTAATCATGCGTAAATGCCAACCCGAGGGTTTCTTGAGACCCAATATAGATCGCCATCAAAATCTCCACCACCCATTTCATCAGCTACTGAACGCGAACCTTTGCGAGAGAAGAATATAGCAAAGCCACTATTTCCAACAAATTCTTTCAACTCATCCACGTAGGTGGCCTTCAAAACATGAACATCACCAAAATGTAAACCTGGATGCCGGTACACTAGCACCTCTCCTTGAATTGGCCCGCTGTCACTGCAAATGTCATTGGGCCGAAAATTAGACCTTCAAACGATAAGTGAACCATATCTATTGACATTAAGATCCGCATGGATCGAGAAAGCAACAATGTAGAGTAACACCTTAGAACAAATGGAACAAGAAAACAATCCAAATAACTAATACCATATTATAACACATACTAAAAACAGTTCTACACGGAAAATTTAGCTCATAATCCGTAGAAACATAATATACATAATACATTAGTGCAACTATAACTCCTAAAGCAAGAAACTACGAAAACTTGTACAGCATAACCATATAATACCATCTTATAACATAGATCAAAGATTGTACGTCTCAGTTGTTCGGATAAACATTTTACCAAACTTCAAATATTGCCGTTGCAGATTAATTCATTCCTTCTATGATTCTATCGTACAACATGTAATCAAGCGATTGTATTTTATAGCTAATTTCATGAAATTATTTAATGAATTTTGTGTAACAGGAAAGGATTAAAAATTGCCAGAAATTGTACATACAGAAGAACGCAAACTTGATCCTTTTCCAGAATCCCTGTTGGATCAGTAGTCCCCATCAACATGTAACTCTGAGGACTAGAAATTTTCCCTCTTTTAAGACTGATATTTTCCTCTTTCTTCAGGAATGACAAACGATGTTGCAAATATGATTCTTCTAGAGGAATATCAGAAGAGATCATCTTAAACGTGTTGTAGTCATCATCCATCCCGCCGTAGCTAAAGGCAACTGCAAATACAGAAGATGAAGGAACGAAACCCATCAAGGAACTAGAAATAGTGAAAGGAAAAATAAATTTGATAGAATGTTATTTAATCCATGGACATGTATCAAAACAAGAATTTGGCAGCCATTTGAAAAGAAAGAAATATCAGCTTACGTTTGGCTGCTGCACGCCTATTGCAGAAAACACCATGAGTATTTTCCAGATCTTTCATCAGTAACTCCATGAAATAATCTTTCGGCACCCCTCCATGGCATAGAAGGGCTATTAAATTCCTCGAAAATTTTGTATTCCTAGGCTTTGTACTGGAAGATGAAAACGTCAACTTAAAATCTATGCCTTCAATAATTTGCTCTGCATCTGAAATTCTCAACTGCAGGGGGAGCAATACAAACTTGGCAAACATACATGCTAGATAATGGGTGTACCTTACTCCAACTATCCAACGAATTCACTGTTTGACCATCCAGCATCTGTCGATCTGTCTCAACTTTAATCATTGATGGTCGAATCTGGATCGTTTTTTGTGGTAGCTACAACGTTGGACATAGAAGATTGTAAATAGTATAGGACGTCAGAAATTTAGATAATGAAGAAAACAATGTTAATCAGAACTATTCTCTAAAGTTTTCATTATAATGCCTGAACCTGTAATTGGGGTTGTATTATTTCAATTTACTTCAGTAATGATGAGGGCATTTCCATAAGTAAATGAAAGAAATCATACTTTTTTATTGACCAGAAAGGTTCCCTTCACAGCACGGCCCTTGTAGAAAAGTCGGATCTGCATGAGCAAAGGCTACAGGGGGAAAACAAAAGCACAAAGGAAATGAGAATATATTGAGCGAACTTAATTCAAAATCTCCAATTTACCTAAAATATAGAATCACAAACCTCAAAGTATTCATTGCTGAACTCTTTTTTCAGTAATTCTTTCGGACAAAGTGACGCCAAATCCTCAGATATGAATCCAGTTCCATCTGAATGTATAAGAGGCTTGCCGTCTCTATAGATACGATTATCGTATGCATCCTGCAGTTTATTGAAAACAAAAAATAAAAAATAAACTGCATGGTAAGATTAAACAAAAGAAAAGGATATCTAAATATAATTTGGAATGGCAAGATTTACTGGAAAAGATAGTTTGAGGATCGTACCAGACAATACTCATCATCAATGTCATCAACCCTCACAAGAGACCAATCTTTTACTTCTAAGCTCTCTGTCTTAGACAAAATGAGTGAAAACCTGAATCCCCGAGAAAGGTGATAGCTTAGAACCTTAAGGAAAAATGCTTCCATACAACATCAAAAAAGAAACTTTTTGTGTTATAGACAACGACATACCTAATCATGTAGTTGCTCACGGTGGACACAGTATGTGGATGCATGAAAATGCATCTTGCTTCATGAATCGTTTTATTAGATATTTTATAATCTTCTCCCCTGTCAATCGCGGCACTAGAGTCCACACGGATAAAGTAACACTTCACAGGTGATGAAGTCGGGCTTTTTTTCTTTTCTTTATTGCCACCATCTTTGAACACTGATTCATAACCATATTAAGAAAGACAGAAATAATGATCAATCGTACTAGAATTCTCAATAACTGAATGAAATGAACACAACAGGTTCAACTGTCGAATACACGTTAAAAGTTCACCAGTGATAAATGGTCTAAATAACATAAAAATCAGTTTCAAAAATATAGAATCCCAAGTTTAAACCATGTCATCATTCTCGTCCTACTTCCAGTACGTGAAGTAACATGATAAACTATACTTTTGAGCCAATCAAGAAAAGCACGAGAAAGAATAAGATCAAAGTGGTTAAGGAAGTAAAACATCTTCAAAATTGTGAATTCAAATTTCACATAAGAAGGCATTAAAGACATACCAAAGAAACAATATCGGCGCAAACCAACAAGAATCCCTTCTCTAGCGACCTTGCTATAGTCAGCATAAAGGTCCCTCTGCTTCCTGGTATCCTTCACATCGGCAAATTTCACCACTAAAATGCTGTCGTCTCCTAAAACTTTCTGTAGGAGAGTTCTTTTTGCGGTGTGTAGATAGGGGCCCTGAAAAATAACAATATATCAGGTATTCGACGTCAAGAAGGAACTACAAACAGATTACCCATATGCAAGCATGGAGACACATGTTTGTGGGCGATCACATTTATACTGGGGGTAGGAGTAAAAACCTTAAAATTGTAGCTCCCATCCACAGCGACTTCACAATGGTAGACGTATGATTTTCCAGACTCCCAATCCAAAGTCTACATCCCACCGAAAACATGAAAGGGACATTAGGGCATTAGGCATAAATACTAAAAGTAATGGATATAAGATTGGCTGATGCCAGTACTAAAGAAGCCAGTGGCAGTGAACAGCGTTAAAAGTCCAATTTTCTTTACAGGAACTTCAATAAAAAGTAGGCCAAGAGTGAAAACCAACCAGCAAAGATTATGGTAATTCACTAATTTAAACATAAACCAGCTTTGAGAGTGATACTCACGCATTGTCGGTTTTCCTTGCGAGCATATTTCCTACCCAAAGTTTCCCAAATTGTGTTCTCAAACTGCTGCATCGGCATATCTTTCCAACTTCTAATAGTCTCTGGTGCTAGAACATCTTCTAACTTCATTCTAAAAAAATAGATACGTAAGTAAAGACACCTAAAAGCAGGCAAGTAAACGGTTTAATCAAGAGGAAATTCAGAAGTAGAACCAAATAAGCCACAGTCCAACTTTCGCATACCCTCCGGCGTAATTTAATATCAGAAACTGTCTCCTGAATTCAAGTTCGCCTAGAGCTTCTAATTGTGCCTGCCCATCGTGTCTTGGTTGGTCTACAACCAAGGACTGATTAGTGAGAGCTCCAAAAATAGATAGCTATCACAAACAAACAGTTGATCACGATGAATGAAAATCATGAAACAGAGAAAGTGCAAAATATCTGACCTTGAAAGAGTCGAACCGGAGTGAGAGAAGACTTAGAAGTAGAAGCAGAAGACGGGCCTTGAAAGAGAGAAGTACGGGCAGCTTTCGAAGGAGAATCCGAGGGATAGGAGGAATACAATGGCCTCTCTCTTCCTCCACGATCTGCAGGTTGCTCTGTAACTCACATAATCGAGACAAAATATGGGTTAAAAGAAAAACAACCAGAAATGACACAACCCATGAAAGAAAAACTCAACGCGAAAACCTCACCTTGACGAACAGGAGTGATAGGAGCAGATGATGGGCCTTGAAAAAGAGATGCGCGTACAGATTTTGAAGGAGCTGCAGCGAAATAGGTATGCAATTGCATCTGTCCTCCACTAGTACTCCCTGCAACTCACATAACGAAAGTGTCAAGATTTCAATGGGACGGACTAACGGTCCACTACTAATCACACCAACATTGTCCCAACCAACAAACAAGAGAATTATTATAAAGGGTCATCGGCATTATTAGAAGTGAAACCATTCTTTATACATTGTAATTCATTTTATCAACCGGCAATTTTCCCACGTGGGATTCTCGCATTCTTCGACAGAAATAGCAGAAATCGGATATAAAAATAATCAGCAAAGAAAACCCATCACTGATCAACCAAAAACAAAACAACCAATGAAGTAAAAATCTGACCTTGACGACCAGGAGTGATTTGAGAAGCAGGAGACGGGCTGTGAAGAAGCGGAGAAGCAGCAGGGCCAGACTTGGAAGGGGAAGGGGAAGGAGAAGGAGGATGAGGGGTACATTGGTACTTTTCATGGTGGAGCAAGAACCAAATGCATCCACTGAGGGTGCTGATGTTGTTAATGTCACCAAGGAGTTCCAGTGCCTTCTCCTCCCCCAGCAATCCCAGCTTCCTTCTCAACTCGGCGTCCGGCAGCGGCTGCTGTTTCTCCCCACATATACTGTTCAGTTTTTGCTGCACCCGCGGAGGCAGAGGCACGTGCAGTTGCGGTTGTGGGCAATCGTCTCGGGGAGTGGCCGCGGTTGCTGGGTGTGGTGGGGAAATGCCAATGGCGGCGGTAGCGGGGCGGTGAGAGTAGCTGAGAGGGAAAAGGTCGGGATTTGAGAAGACGGGGTCATCGAAATCAACACCCTCAATCTCTGTGTAACTGCGTTTGGAGTTGCTGGGACCGTAATTAGGCGGATGATACATTGATTAACTTTGTAGTCAACTGGGAAGGAAGGAAGCAAGGAAGGAAGGAAGAAGTCTCAAAAGACTGGAGCTTTTTGAGTTCAGCGTTGAGTGTGTGTGAAATTAAATAATTGCAGGGAGGGAAGTTTGGTGACAAAATCCAGTTGATTTCGGAGATGGTGGTTTAAGTGGAGCTGCTACTTTATACTGTTACTTCTTCATGCCGTTTCTTCTTGTGCTTATTCACACGACGTGTCCCTAACTGGGTGACACTGGCCCGCTCTTAGTTTTATTAATTAATCATTCTCGGTAAAATAGTTTTGAGAAATTTTATATAAATCAATCTAATCTATTTCTACATCGAACTTTTTGCACTCATTTGATTTTAACTAAATTATTAATATCTTTTTAAACTCAAATTTAATACCTAATATACCCTCATTAACCCTATTCAATATGTGAATTTCTTTTTACGCCCATTTGATTTTTAACCCAGAAGCTGCCGCAGCAGGCTGTGTATTTCAAAACCGAGTGCCAATTTTTCTTAGTGTCCTCATTTTTCTTGAATTCCCATAGCTTGCATTTTTGCAAAGTCTGCAAATTTGCAAGATAAAAATCAATGGCTCTTAAGGCTGGTCATGTCTCTGATGTTCCAAACCTCGATCAAGTCACAGAAAATGTTGCCGCATTGGCCGTACATTGATGCCATGATTTTGGGGTGACAGAGAAGAAAAAAAATATATAAAAATAGAAGAAGCAATCCTTGCAATATCTGACAGAGAAGAAGAAAAATATATAAAAATAGAAGAAGCAATCCTTGCAATATCTGCAAGATTTTTTTGTATTTTGGCTGCAGATTTTGTATTAGGACTTTTATGCAATACTATTTGCACCAATAGCTACATTGATGCCATGATTTTGGGGTGTAGTCAAACTACACCAACATAGAAGAAAAAAAATATAAAAACAGAAGAACCAAACGGAATCCAAGGTCCTTGCAATATCTGCAAGTTTTTTTTGTTTTTTGGGGTGCAGATAGATAGTGGAAGACTGATTGCAGCATTTGCTGTTGCAGAAAGATAAGCAAACTATGCAGGATTGATTGAAAAAAAAAATTAAAACCAACATACTCATCGTCTAAACTCTAAAAAGTTGAAATCAAACGAACAAAAAAATTAATAAACATATGATGAACAAAGAATGATCGTAGGGTTTAATTATAGTGTTTGGGTTTATTGATAAATTTGAGTTTTATTATTAATTTCATTTTGTACTTAATAGTAATTATGCAATAGGATAAAATAGACAATTAACATTTAAAATTTTAAGTTGCGTGTAAAAAAATGTTACATGAGTTTAAATAAAATTTCCCTATAATTTTTTATATTGGCTTATTTTTAGTTGCGCATCAACTTGATTTTGATATGTCACATCCCAGCCCGGGGTGGATCACTTCCCGGGCCCGCTCCACTACCGTAGCACGATATTGTCCGCTTTGGGCCCCGACCACGCCTTCACGATTTTGTTTCTGGGAACTCACGAGCAACTTCCCAGTGGGTCACCCATCTTGGGAATGCTCTAGCCCCCTTCTCGCTTAACTTCGGAGTTCCTACAGAACCCCAAGCCAGTGAGCTCCCAAAAGGCCTCGTGCTTGGTAGGGATGGGAATATACATTTAATGATCACTCTCCTGGGCGATGTGGGATGTTACAATCCACCCCCCTTAGGGGCCCGACGTCCTCGTCGGCACACACGCGGCCAGGGTTAGGCTTTGATACCAATTGTCACATCCCGGCCCGGGGTGGATCACTTCCCGGACCTACTCCACCACCGTAGCACGATATTGTCCGCTTTGGGCCCCGACCACGTCCTCACGGTTTTGTTTCTAGGAACTCACAAGCAACTTCCTAATGGGTCACCCATCATGGGAATGTTCTAGCCCCCTTCTCGCTTAACTTCAGAGTTCCTACAGAACTCGAAGCCAGTAAGCTCCCGAAAGGCCTTGTGCTTGGTAGGGATGGGAATATACATTTAATGATCACTTCCCTGGACGATGTGAGATGTTACATGATATCACTAGATGTAACTCACTCAAAAGTTCGCTTTACCTTCTTAAATAGTTTATCATATTTTGGTTTCTTCAATCAAATAGCCTTTAAAGTCGCAAATGTGGATAGGTAAAAATGTAGTACAATTTCATTTTTAACTATACCTCATAGAAATCGATTTGATCTCAGTTTGCCTCTTTGGAACTCGATTTTGATTTCACTGTGGTCCTTGAAACAGATTTTTATCACATTTTGCCCATTAAAACTCTAAAAGTTGTCATTTTATAAATCTCCACTATGAATTGTTTGAATGTTAATGCATGGTGGAGATGAATTTGATTATAAATCTCCACTATGTGCCCACATTCAACAGTCAGAAAATATTTATTTTAAATGAAGAAATTAAAGATTGGAATTTTTTTGGGTTGATTTGCTTGAGTTGCAGAGATCTAAAAAAAATAAAAAAGAATTTGATTAGCCTAGTGCACTCAAATGATACCCAACTGATGACATTTGTTTCAATTCGACGGATATCAAATCAATCTAGATAAGCAGTGAGAGGAAGAGGCTGGGTTGATAGTGAGCAAGAGAGGAGGAGAGTTGTCGGCGAGATGGAGATGGTAACGGTACGTAAACAACGTCAGAAAGTTAAGCGAATTTTGACTTTCGAGTTTCAATGAACAAAATAGTATCAAAATAGAGCGAATTTGATAGAAAAAGCAGAAACATTTTAAGTTTTAAGAAGTAAAATAATGAAGTTTGAGTTACAATAAATAAAATAAGACTAAAATCGAATTTCGATAGTTAAAAATAAGAAAAACTAATGAAAATAGTTTGAAAACTTTGAGTTTTAACAATAATGACAAAATAAATGGTAAAGTGAATAGTATAATATTTAACTTTTTAATGTGAAAATATAATTTTTTATTAAAATAAACAGTATTACAGACTTTCGTTACTAACTCCCTTAAAAATAAGCCTTTTATATTTGGCCGAAAAAGGAAATGACTTCAATGCTACGTTTGAATTTTTCTTAACGATGAATCTGCTACATTGCTGACCTACTTTATCTCACATGTGCAGCGTCAGATTTATCATCTGTTCTCCTTTTGTCAAATCCAACTTTTTAGATTCTCTCCATAATGCAAATGGAATTATGATTAGGAAAGACTTTTCAAGTAATTGGAATAAAATATAAAGTTTGTTATCCACACATCCTATTTTACTGTTCATACATCCTTGATAATTTATATCTGTTGAACTTCTTCAATTCATCCGATCCGACGGCTTAAATTAAAAAGATGTGTGAAAAGTAAAATATAATATATCGATATCACACCTTTAAAATATAATTGAAGAATTTGAAAAAGAATGTGTAGACGAAAAAATAAAATAAATAAAGTGTGAAAATCACTTTTTTTTTTAAATTACGATCGATTCCTGTCTTTTAACAAATATTATTAATTTAGGCCACTTTTATTTATTTTTCTTTATTTTTGAATTCATTGAAACATTTAGGGCCACTTTTATTACATTACGTCTTATTTGACAACAAAAAGAAGATTTAAGGTGATGTGTTACCGATGCGAGATAGACCGGTTGATTACAGTAGCATGTTCATCCTTTTGGATCCGAGTCAGAATTCCACGACTCTGTTAAAATAGTTTAGAATAAAATATCGACTCAGTGATACTTTCAAACAAGTTTGAACCTTTAAAATTGATGAATATACATGTGTAATTCACATTCACAACTTCATTCAATCAGGTCACAAATATTTCTTGACAACACACAAAAAATTGAGGATGCAATGAAAGAATTACAAGTCGCCAAGTACATATATGTACGAAAATCTTCACATCTGCAGAGCAGAAGCAAAGTTTGTAAGACGAACAAAAGCAGTGACTCATGCGTTATTTCGATGGAGCCTGTTAACTTCGACAACATATATATATGATCGAGATTTCGCACGCGCGCATCCTCGACAAAGAATGGAGATAAAAGCAACTATATATACCTTCATACAACGCATTCTGTGAATTGTCATTTTTGCGGAAGTAGCTTCTGGCATGGAGCAAGCAACTACCAAATCACGGTAAGTTAGTGTGACCAAGTCCCATGGACTCTGCGACTTCTCTAGCGGAAAAATTGTCTGCTTGAGCCTGCATATAGAATCCACATTTAGAAGATATACATACGATATTGTATCATGACCGAATGTTGGCTTCTCATACAAATTATAATGCTGAAGTAGTATCCATACCTGAAGGCTATGCAGCAAATACATCAAAAAGAGATGTACAAATACCTGCATATGATTTATTCTGGTTATTTTGTAATTCAATATGCTCCAAATTGTATGTCTGCCTTTAAACACATGTTTAACTGTTTTACCAGGTAGAATAGTAAGATGAGTCGAGCTGTTGGATACCGCCAGAGAAATCTTGTGGCCCTGACTGCCCCTGAATCTAACATTTTTGCTGCCTTCTGTAACTGCATGAGACGAGGTGAAATGTAAGAGTGAGGAACGGAGAACTAGAATGGTGATGGATGTAAGAAAATTATTTACCTGTATGCTTGCCCCAGCCATATGACGATGATGCAACGGAAGAGTCCTGAAGATGTTATATTTTCGTTAAGTTCCATCCAAAGACGAACAATTATAACATATTACTTGTTAGTTAACAAGATGCGAAAAGAATGAAGGGAAATCATGTAAAATTCCTTTTAAAAGAATCAACATACTCAAGTGCCTTCATTTCAGCGTCTTCTTCCCACGATGCTGATGCCCGACGGGAAACTCTACTTCTTTCAGCCTCCACCTGCATATAATATGGATTCATAATTTCATATAGAGAAGCAAACATATGACCTAAGAGTGTTTAGTCTAATGGTCAGGCCCTTGGTTTGTTACCAAGAGGTCTGGGGTTCGACAGCTCTCAAGGTACCCACCTAGCAATTGCTAGAGTTTCTTGCCTACCAAATGTTGTGGGGTCAGGCGGGTGGCCTAGTGAGTAGTCGGGTCAAAGACCCGGAGACACTAGATTCAAAAAAAAAAAAAAAAAAGAAGAGAAACATATGAGACCAAAAAATTAAAAGTAAATGGACTCTCGAATCTATACAAAAACTATCATGTAAGCAGCAAAAAACACCTAGAAACAGACCTGTGCTTCCTGGATACGCTTAATTTCCTTTTCCAAGTGAAACTCTGCTGCGGCTTTTTCACTAGCCATGGTTTCTAATTGTGTTTGCTTGTAGTACTGAAAAATAAATGGAACAAGACGTGTCAATAAAGACACGATATCTGACCATTTAAATTAGTGTTCTTGAGTGACATTACCAGTAGATCAGTGAGTTCACGATAGCGTTTCTCTAGCTCCATGTGTTCCTGCAAAATGCAAAATATAACCAGTAAATAACATAGAGCTCAAGATAACCTAGTAAAAATCTTCGTATGATGAAGATATATGAAAAGAGAGGCAGCAGTATCACCTGGCGTGAGTAATGCTCTGCATCCCTCTTCATAGAAGCCATTTCAACTCTCATTTTTTGTACTTCAGCCTGAAATCAAGCATTTCAAGAAGCGTTATATAAACAATTTGTTCGACAAGGCAAAAAAATTCAGAGCACAAATCTATAAACTGATAATAACAAAACTGTTGGGCAACAAACAAGGGACTCACCTCCAACGAAGAAAGCTTGCCCTCTGCATCCCTCTGACCTTGGCGTGCACGTTCCACTTCTTCCTGCCATGCCTGCACCTTAGTATTCACAACTGTAAGTGAGTACAATAATACCGTGGGGAAGCTTTAAATATGCTCAATTAATTTGGGCTGGGCTGGGTGCCCATGTGACAATGAGACGATACTTACTACCAAGTAATAGAAATCACACTTGAAGTTTAGACTGTAATAAAATGCAGAAATAAAATGGATATCACAAAGAATACCTGAATTGCTTGATTTGCCTCTTCTGGCGACTTCTTTTGCCCACGCCGAACTTTAGCTTCCATTTCTTGCAGCTCTTGATTTAAATTGGCACATTCAACCTGATGGCACATAATGTTAATTATCCAAGGATCTTAAGACAGTATTATGTTCCAGACATGAACAAAAACATTAGTACAAATATAATATAGAATGTTTATTATACCTCAAGCAATGCCATCTTCTGCTCAAGCTCTGATGCCTTTGCAATCCTCTCATCTGCTATTCTCTGAATAGGGAAGCAATTGGAACGTTCAGTATATTATGCTCAAACTCACATATGTATAATTCATTGAAATCCCAGAAACGCATGAAAATTCAATGTCTTCAGAGTTCAGAGGCAGAACATGGAATCATAGATACAACTCCTGGAAAAAAGCTCATTGACGAAACAAAATTTGTAAAACTTTCAAAATATTGTAACAAGTTCATCAGAAATAAAAACCTAATATGCAAGCACCATTATTTGGTTCATGTATAAAGGAACTAAGAATGTCAGTAATCATAAGCTTCTAAAGAGAAGAAAGAGAACAAAAAGCTCATAAATATAATGGTATATACATTTTTTTTTATCAAGTAATGGTGCATAGCAAAGAGTCACAAACTTGAGAAGCGCGCTCACTTTACCTGGATCCTTGCAAGGGCTGTGGATGCCTCAAGGGCTCTGTGTTCCAGTTCTACTTCCCTTTCCATGGCAGCCTGTTTTACCAGAAAGTGATTATCGCAGTGTAAGAAAATAACCAGAAGTACAGAAATTACTGATAATACTAATGTTGTAGGTACATACCATTTTGGTTGCACTATGTGCGGCACGCTCTTCTTCTGCTCTACGTTCTACAGTAGACAACTCCTCTCGAAGAGCCTAAAGAATATTTTCCTAATATTTCAGGATCAAATGATAAGATCCAAATACACGCAAAGAAGAAAAATCTTAAACTCTAACCTGCATCATCCTTGTCTCTGTCAGCTCCCTATTTCTCATCATAGACTCCATGTTTGCCTGATTGGAAAATAATAATAATCAAGCTATTATTTAAGCCTCAAACTGGTCAAAAATCTAAGTCAAGAACATTCATAATTGCATGAACAGAATAATGAAAAAGTTAAACAAGGTACTTCACACAAACCAGGCATAGAGAGAGGGAGAGAGAGAGAGGAATATCATGCATCAATAATTAAATGTGGTGCATGTAATGAACCTGCAGCGATGCCAGATTCCCTTCAGATAAGGCAGCCTGTTTCTTAAGTCCATCCATGGAACTGACAAGTGCCTCAATTTCCGAATTTTTTGCTGCCAAGGCCTCAACCATATTTGACTCTATTCTCGTCACTTCACTTTTAGATGTGGACAAATCTTTTTGTAGTTGCTTTATGTGAGCCTCATACGACTTACTCAGCTCTCTCTATCAAAATAGCAGTAACATGAGATACCAATAGTGTTAGATCATATGCCTCAAAGGTTGAAACTTCACATAACCTGAAATAAAAAATAGGAATGTATCTCACCTCTGACACGAGAAGCTCCTCTAGCTGTGCATTTTCAGATTTGTATTCTTGAAGTCGGGATGAAAGTCCAGCACAAACCTAATAGTCAATAATAACCAAAAGATTAACAAAGACCTAAAACAGGAAACTTCAAACCAATAAGAAATTTCTAAAGGGGGCAGAAAGCTTCTTAGAGCATATGTGAAACAGGCTTATTCAACTTATGGTGACCTTTTACGAGAGATCAGCTGAAAGAAAGAAAAACAGAAATCAGTAGAGCTTACCCTTGCTAACCTTGCTTCTTTAGACTGACCAGTGGAAACAGCAGTTTTAAGCAATCCTTGAGCCTGTAAACCAACTAAAGAAACTATTTAATCATAGCCTATATGGCAAGTTAACTAGATTCAAAGCAAAAAGCATAGACGCACACGAGATATCACCTCGTAATAAATAATTTACCTCCTCAATTTGATCCTGCTCCTGTACTTTTAAAGGAGAGCTACCAGATTTATGCTCAATTGGCTTACTTTTCTCAACAACTGGTTCCTCATTGCCATCAGCAACTTTCGGTTGGGTTTCTCTGTTACTGATGGCATCTGTATTTATAGACTCTGTTCTCCCTTGGTCAATTTCTGGATGAACATCTGAATTTCTAGATTTGTTATCTTGGCCAGCACCAACTGATTCAACCTGATGGTTTTCATCCACAACCTCAACTTCTTTGGCAGGTGATGGCAAAGGATGTTCTTCACGACCATCCGAGTCAATCTCACTGACAAGCTTACCATTAGAAGTTGATGTATTAGCCTCCCTATCAGTAAGACTTATTGAAGCTTCTGCTTGTTCAGCATTACTTTCACCAACTTCAATTGCCCGTGCCTCTGTTAAGGGAATGCTTATTGTGGGATCTTTCTCATGATTCTGTTGCTGCTCGTTGATGGTTTGACTTGTAGGATCTGCAGAGGGTGCCCCTTCATTTTCCTTTAGATGAGCATCACTGTCTTTTTCAGGTGTCACGTCTGTTTGTGATGTCAACGTACTAATCTGCTCACGTGCAGAATCACTCATTTTCTGAGATTCATTTGTGGACTGTCTCTTTTGAGCCTGAAAATATCCAATGTAGACCACAAACTTTATATACATATATTCATGCGTGTGTGAAATATAGCATGCTGTATTTTCATGAGTAATCTGGCAATACCTTGGTCTTCGACTTTTTTCTCTTGGCTTGAGATCCTTGCCCATTAGAAGCTTCAGAAAAGGAAAACATAAATAAAAATTTGCAACAATTAGGTGGTCTTCAAGGTTATCTAAAAGACAGTAACTTGATGAAGTAAGAATATTCTAGGACCCATTAATAAGGCTCTGAACTGCATCCTAACAGCATATGTAAAAACAACGAAGAAGAGGCACCAACTCATTAGTGGGTAAAGTCTTTTGGCAGCGTCCAGACTTCAAACCAAAACAAAAATAAAAAGATGCAGGGCAATACCTGGTGATTGGGAAGGCGACTGATCATCCAACTCACTGACAACCAGCTTTGCCCTTCGATCAACAACTTCAAACAAATCTGAGGCCAAAGAAAAAAGTTACAAACTTTACACATCAAAGGCACAAGAAATGTCGCAGTAATACAAGGAACTCTGACATGGAGCTTCTACAGGGATGATCTATATATTCAAAACTACTATTTAATCACCGTTTTTCTGTTTATGATGACTCCAAATTGAAATTTCTATTTCAAAATGAAGTTCTAAACACAATTCAATAAAGAAATGCCCAATGCCAATGACATCAGAATCACCAAACATGCAAATCCAAACTTAGCCGGTTATCGCAACCATATTATCCATAAAACACCTCAAATAATTACAATTAGTGATTAAGCATAAGATCAAACCCAAAACACATTCAAAATCCATAAGCAAACCAAATTAATTAACAAAAACAAAAAATTAATTGGAACAAACATAGAGGATCCGAACCTTCAGCAGCCTTGAGCCACGAAGACATTGTTACGAAACCGAATTCGGATCTACCAACAACCGCGGCTTAGAGACTGACCAATGGAGCAGCTTCCATGGAAGAAATGGGAGAGATTGCCAAACGGAAAAGCTCGAATTCGAGAGATTGCCAAACCGAAAAGCTCGAATTCGACTGCGTAAAAGCTTCCTGCGATCTGCGTGATATGCGTCCTCCTCTCAACTCGATCGGGGAGGCGTCAAGGCAGTCGTGACTCGGGTGAGTTGTGGCTCAGTCGTGACTCGTTAGTTGGGACGAAGGTTTTGCGTTAACGAGTGAAACTGAAAGGAACAGAGACGAGTTTGTTCAGGTGAGATCACGACCACCGTATCCGTATTTGGACGTTTCTTTGCCACGTGGATAATGCGTAAGGACAACGTCGTGACGTTGACTAGTCTGGTGGATTCATCATTGGGCTTTTGGACCAAATAAAACATCACTCGTCTTAAACTATTGGCCCATCAAATGTTGTTAGATGTTCAAAACTTAGGCCTAAAACTATATGGGCCATATAATATTTTGATAGATACTTTTTTTTTCTAGGTCAAAATTTGGGTACTTGCCAACAAGAATTGGTTGAGTTGGTAAATATCGTTTTCCTTGCTAAATCAGGTCTAGGTTCGAGTGTAGCTGCCGGCAATCCTTCTGAGTGAGCGAACTGTAAAAATCAAAAGATGAGCTAAAACCCAATCTGTAAGTTCTCAAAAAGACTTGTGGTATGTCTTGGCCCTGATGAAGTAGCCTCCCCTCAACCTAAACTTAATATTTTGTAACCGAGAAAAAGTATGGGCACTTGATTTTGTTCGAAAATGGTAAGTATATTGAGACGAACAATTGTTTGGCTCCACAAATGCTTTTGGCAATATTTGGAAGAAACACTTAAAGGAGCTTGTAGATTGTAAAAGCGTTTTTAGCGCTCTCTTCAAAAGCATTTTCAAATGCTTTAGAAAACACTTTTTTTTTTCATAATAATAATAATTTGGAATCTACTTCAAGAAAAAGCACTTATGAGTATAATGTTGTTCCTGACTGCTTAAAATAAAAGCGCTTCTGAGAATTCTGCTGATTGATCAAAATCAATAGTAGTGCACGTACATTAATTATATGAAGGTTGAATCAAATATGAAGATTTGAAGAGAAAGTGCTTAACAATTTAATTACAGTTAATTAGAATTAGATGTCTCATTTTAGATTTTTCTAAATTAAACATCTGTTACTTTTCAACTTTTGATTAAAGTGTTTTGACTTTTAATTAAACTTTATATTCCAGGTATATTTTTAATTTAAGTATTTAATAAATTCTTTTAAATCCATTTCTATGTAAAAAAATGCACTCAATAATATTCATTAATTTATTGCTATTTTTATGGAATCTCATCCCTTCCTCAATTTAAGGATTCAATTATATCTACTCGGGTTCAAGATTAATTGGATGAAATATAGTTTTTCCAATTTCCAACTCAACATTTTATATAGATTATAAAAAAACAAGAGTTCGTTTATAATTAAAATTGAGATGTAGACTAGACTGCTTAATTTCATGCAACTACAAATAAATTTGAATTTTTTAACAACTACTTATAGTAGAAACGTGAACTAAGAGTTTTCACATTTTTATTTTTATTTAAAATGAGTCCTTATTCCAATAATTAATTATTAAGAGTTGACAAAATATTTTTTAGTGCAATGTTTTAATGTGAAAAGTTATCTTCTTTTTTTGGGTTACACAACTTACACATAACGTACCATAAGTTTTGTACGTACCAAAATAAGTATAATACAACGTACTAATAACTTGGTACGTACTAAATAAAGAATTGCATAACGTACCAAAAGCAATATTTTATAACGTACCAAAATACTAACACGTACCCAGATTAAATTTATATAACGTACCAAATGATTGGTACATTATATTTAATATATCTGTTTGGTACGTTATATTTAATATATGTGCATGTTATATATCATAATTGTATGTTAATACGATGTTTATGTGTTTTTAGAATTTAAAACAAAAAATTATTTGAATAAGAAAAATTCATTTTGAACGAATTATGATAAGATGAGATAGGAAGTTTGTAGTGATTTTAGAATATTTGTGATATTACTTTCTGAACTAGTTGGTTAATTAAATACAATAAAATCATAATTTTTAATTAAAAATTAGTAGAAGAATGTTTGATCAAAAGTTTAAAAGTTATAGATGTTTGATTAAAAAAATTCAAATTTGAGGTATCTATATCAAAATGCCCCATTTAATTATGTCCAAATCAAACAAGTCCATATCAAATAAATCATGCACGCATGCATGGCACTCATCTACTAGGGCGACTGTGCCATTGGCTCCTCAGAATTTCAGCAATTAAACCAAAAATAAATAAAAAATAGATATGTATTAATATTGATGTTAATACACACACATATATATACACACACATGACACGCACACACACACACATATATACATATATATACACGACACACACACACATATATATAAATACACGATGATGATTCATATATATTAGTTGTATGCATTTGCAAGATAAGCATGGGATGAAAGCATCGATCGATAAGAGAGAGAGAGAGATAGGAGGCTCTTTACTGTTTGAGAGAGACGATTCGTCAATCATGCAACTATACATCGCAATCTCCCACCTACTCTTTGTAATTACTGTCGTTTTCTTCCCTTCTTTTATTTTACCATTTGTTTCTTCCTTTTTTTTACTCCTCAAGATCTATAAAGCTAATTCTGACAATCTTTCACCTCCTTTTTTTAACCAATACAAGATATCTGACAACTTCTTCAGCAAATTCTGAAGTATATACCCTTAATCATATTTATCAAGAAGCTAATATGACAGCATATGGATTTGCTTCTTGAATTAGTTTATAATGACGATCATTCTTTTATCTGGTTAATAACTTTCCAAATTTAACATTGCATAGGTTAAAGTTTGATTTGTATGGTTTTAAGATCCGTCGAGGATCCTCTTTGTAATGTTATTTCAATTTTTCAAAAATAATAATAATAAAATATGTATAGACGAGTTTATTGAGCAGTAAATATATAGTGGTTAATTTATTCAGTGGGTTAGTCAGTTCATCATAGTAGCATGCTGGGTAATAAATATTAATTTATTTCCTCTTCGTATGGATGCATGTGTTGTTGCCTAATTATCTTCAGCATACTCAAGTTATTTTTGTGTTTCTTTTCAAGAAACTACTCTGTTCTCTATGTACTACAAAGATAACTTTCTCGGATTTTTCTTTGGTAAGATTTGCACGCCCACGTATCATTTTTACGTTGGAGAAGTGATCAAAATATGGAAATAAAGAAAATATGAGATGGACCCTTCAGCTGCTATCATACAAATTAAATATAGCTGAAATGAAAAAAGAAGAACATATAAATGGGAAGGAAAAGAAAAGTTAGGATCGGAGTTGATCCCTGAAGCCGATAAGCTTATAATGATACCAATTGATTTTAGGAAACTTTAACGAAAAACTTCTGGTATTGTTCATTTTAATGAAAAATTACATTTTTACACTAAAAAGTCAATCATGGTACTATTCACTTTATCCTTTCTTCTTATCATTAAAACTCAAAGTTTTCAAACTATTTTCATTATTTTTCCTATGATTTTATGGTGAATTTCTAATTTTCTTCATGGTACAGGGACAATGTTATTTTAGGTGTGAAGCCCAAAGCCTAATGATCCAAACCGTTAGTCTTTTAGGTTTTCCCTTAAATATCATGTCCACGAAAAATCATGCAAATCTGAAGCTATATGATAGTTGGACTGTATTCGTTCATTTTCTTTACAATAAATTAATGTCTTAATCATTTTGAATTTGTTTAATTTTTTATAAAGATAATTTATGAATGATTTTTTAAAAGATTAACAAATTAAATCATTAAAATACATTATAAAATAGGCTTTATAAAAATATTTGTAAAAAATTGTGTAAAAAAGTGAATGTCACGAATTTAGCTCCACACACATACGGACATATAACACAATAATCGATGTTCACAACGTTCCCTCCCATCAAATTTGTAATAATGTTATTTTCTCTCTCAAAATTATTGCATTTTTTCCGTTAAAGGAAGGAAGATGTCTACTGATTGCCCATTTGTCTTTATTATACGAATAACCTGCCCCAACTTAGAGAGAAAATTTTCATTATTATCAGAACATGTAGTACATTACATGTTTTTATATAAGTGGTGAAAAATTATATATTTTAAATTAACTTTTTAACATACATGTTTTACTATTTATATAATGACATATGATACATCACTTATTGTTTTGATCACGGAAAAATCTCTCCAACTTACGGACTGAAAATCTGTCCATTAGTCGAGGCTAATGGACGACAAAGACGTTGCTGTCAACTTCAACATTTCTTATTTAAATCACAGACACAATTTGATTAACCACTAACCTAAAAATGAAAAGAACAAGAAACTGAAATATACAATTGAGTATAAATGACCAAATATCTGGACAAACTCATCGAAATGGTAGTATAGCTAGATCTGAAAATTTGTGGCTATCTTTATTTTTCAGTTCTGGACCATCGATCGTCGAAATTGAATAGTAGCTCCCCTAACAACGTAATCAAATTTCGAACCAGATCAACCACTAGTATCACCATCACAAAGAGTGGACTACACAGATAAAAACCCTAAACCCTAATAAATCCAAGGCTCCTCCTCACCAACCTGGAAAGGCAATACATTAAAATCCCACACACACGAGAGACCAAGACAAACATAACGCTCTCTCAAGTCTTCTTTACCATGCAAGTTGCAACTACAGTCGCAGTAGGTACAAGGCCATAGCTTTATAAAAAGAAGAGAAAAATTCACACACATATATGTTTATATATGCACCCTTTCGCTTTTTCTCTTTTCTTACCAGCAAACATGTTTTTTTTCTTCTTTTCGAAAAGATAAATCTCGGTACAAATTCGAAACAGTGCAATTGTTGTGATAGGTGAAACTTCGAGGAAAAGATTGATGGAATCAAATTACTTTCAAAAGTCGATGAAGTATATAGCTCGGTTTCACAATCCTTGCATATTAGGTTCACTCAAATATTACACATAATTTCAACATAAACAAAGTAAACACAACATAAAAAGGCCAAAATAATAGGAAAACTACAACTCAAGACATTCAGGAAGACCCACATGTGAAGACAACAAAAAAATTTAAAAAGACACAGTGGGAAGGAAAATACAAGAATCAAAATTATTGCTCTCCAAAGGGGGAGCCTTGGTTTCATCTAAATATTAAAGTCTAAAAGCAACTAGTAGATATCCACGTTAAGCAAACACACACCCAATTTCCAAATCATTTTATGTTTTTAATACAAAACTTTTTATCCAAAATAGTCCCTAAAATTTGTATAACACATCATTTTCATCTCTGAAATTGAAAATCAATAGAAATGGTCATTGAGATTGTCTATTATACATTATTTTGATTCTTCCGTTAAAAACTCCGTTAAGTATCCGGAGCTATTAGCCGGAAGTTTGGGCAATCTTCAAAGCTTTGTAACTCAATCGTTTCTTAACCAAATTTGACCAATAATATATCAAAATAAAGGTAGGAAAGTGTAGAACAAGATTATACATATTTAGAAGTCCAATGGTTGCCGGAGATGGTCGGAAAATAGTCTGACTGATCCGCGGAAAAACTGGAAAACTCGCAGGAAACTGGGTAAACTTTAAACGTTCATAACTTCTTCAATACTCAACGAAATTGAGTGATTCAAAAAACAAAAATCATACTTCTAGACAAAGAGAATGGTAGCCTTCTTGATGGCTAACTCGTCGTGGTTTGGCCGGAAAATGGTTCAAAAGTGACTAACTCGATGACCAGGACAGCCACTTTCGAGCTATTTTTCGACCAAACCATAGTGAATTAGCCTTCAAGAAATATATCATTTTCTTTGTCTCGTCGAGAAGTATGATTTTTGTTTTCGAATCACTCGCTTTCGTTGAGTATTGAAGAAGTTATGAACGTTTAAGTTTTACTCAGTTTTCGGCGAGTTTTCCAGTTTTCCCGCTGACCAGTCACTTTTCAAGCTATTTTCCGACCATCTCTGACAATCATGGGGCTTCCAAATAGGTATAATCATTTTTCTGCACTTTCCTATCTTCATTTTGATATATTATGGATCAAATTTAGTCAAGAAGCGATTGAGTTACGAAACTTTGAAAATTGCCTAAATTTTCGGCCAAAGCTTTGGGACATTTAACGGAGTTTTTAACGGAATGACCAAAATAATGGACGGTGGACAATCTCAGGGATCATTCCTGCAACCATTTTGGCTAAAAAGCCTTAATAAAAAGATCAAAAGTAAATACTTAGCGTGTGTGAAAAATATATAATTAGTATGTGCCAGTAATATATAAAACTTCTTTCTCATATCATGCATTCAGAATCCAATTATACGTACGTAGATTGAGTGATGTTTACATATATAACCGGCGCATACAAAAATCCTTTGTGCATGTGGAAATATACGTTTATGTGCAAATCACAAAGCTGATAGATCAGAAACAAATTAACCGTGGAGTACTCAAGGAAATTAATTAACCGAGTTGAAATTAAATGTTGTGTCTATTCTCCCATCTCATCGACCACGCATGGCATGGTATGATGGAGATTCAAGGGCAGCCGATCGTTTCTGCAACTTGAGATCCTTGTAAAATCTCTTAATAAACTCCTCAGCTTCCCTGTCCACCTGGCTATCACCTTCGTCCTTCAACGGAAACGGCGAGTCCGTTATCCTCAGCTGCCTCACCATAGGGCTCTTCCCAAACCCTGGCAATGTCACAAGCGGCGAGGCCTCCACCGCAATCTCATTATTCAACATCTCAAGCACCTTCTGAACCGCACTCATAGTGCTAACGTCGTCGTATTGGTACGCACTGGTTGCTTTGGGAAAATAGTGGTTGTGGTGTTTGTTGCGCTTGTTGAAATGAAAAAGGTTGTGAACGGCGGGGCTGTTGCTACAGCTGAACTCGTACTCTCGGGGAGTGACGAAGGATAGGGCCTCGTTTGAGCGGCAGCTGAAGGCGGAGTTGTGGTGGAGCATGAGGTTGTTGGCTATTGCCTTGCCTGCTAGCTTGCCACGTTTGAGCATCAAATGGAGGTCGACAATAAGCTTGCTCTTCGATAAGCTTTTGCGCAACATGAAGAACGCTATGCGTACTAAGTTCCACAATTTCTTTGCCACAACCGGCGGGCTTGGTTCTACTTCCATTTGTATAATTGGGTGATAGAGAGAGAGAGAGAGAGAGAGAGAGAGGGAGAGAGGGAGAGAGATTAAGAAGTTTTTTTTTTGGTTAGTTCGAGCTTTGTGAGGGGAAGGGGAAGGAGGTATATAAAGGGGTTAGGAATTATTATTTAATAAATAAATAGATTAAGTTGATAATTATGAAGTGGTAGCGATTTATATCATTCTCTTCTATGGCGAGTGAGTGTTACAATCTTAAGAGAAAGATCAAGAAATGCAAAATAAGTACGAGAGTTTGTTTCACGCGGTGTGATGAGTGAGTGAATTGGCATTTCCAAATTGATAGGAATTGGCATTTCTAATTATTTGTTATTTGATTGATTTAATATTTTGGTTAGTGCTTATATATATATATATATATATATATATATATATATATATAAAAGTTCCTATGATTGGCTTCGTCAAATTACTAGAAGGTCCCTGTGATAGGAACCAAATTACTTAAGTAATGCTCCCATATGCAATGATTAAATATCTTGGGAAGGTCCCAAGTGTCAAATACACGCAGCCTTTGCCCTCCATATTAAGGTATTTGCATCTTAACTTTTTCCATTTCTTTCCTTATGAAATTCAAATCATCCTTCAACTAGTGTTTTTGGTGCTTTGAAACGTTCAAGGCTCAAGCATTAAGTTCATGGATTAGAATCTTACTGTATATGTTAGGAAATACTAACAATATTATTGATTAAATGACATTCAAATACAAAGTCTTGAGTGAGTATATTTTATATAACATTCAGGATTCTCAAACCAGACTAAACAGTGACCTATAGAAAAATAAAACTTCGTTAGACAGTGTGCAAGATCTATCATATCTTTAAAATATCATATTATGTACACACTGATGGAAGTCAGAACATAAAAGTTAAAAGTATATGAAAAAAGAGATTGATATTTAAAAGAAATGATGGCTAGTAATGGTTTGTTTAGGTGTGTTTTTATTGCATGCACAAAATATGTTTAGATAGAGAATTTTTTCTAAGTGCTCAACAACATTAAAGCTTGGAGGGATACAGAAAAATATATCAATTCCTTTACTTATATTATAATATATGGAATATCGTTTAAATATCCGATACCTGAAAAAATATGTCTTTAAACAAAAGCAACTTTGATATTATCAAAAGCATATGCTTAATATGAACCATTTAATCATATGCTTAATATGATGAGTAGATTAGGGTTTCACATTAACATGATTATGACAATAATATAATGTAGCGGTGTATATTTTTCTAAAAAACTTCTCAACTCGGTCAAGCTTAGTCTCCGACAATCCAAAGTCTTAAAAACACCGTTGTAATTAAAGAATAAAAGTAATTCTAGAGATAGTTAAAGAGTGCTACCTGATTAGTTGTTAATTGTTATATATATATCATATCATATACATGTCACATCTATACTCAATTATGATTAGTTGTAATTAATTGTTAATGTCAATTCTGATTTATGCAATAATTAACAACGGTCGGATCTTTCTAACGATGCTCAAAACTGTGTGTTTTTTCTTTGCTCTTTCAAGCTGCAGACATTTAGCCAATGGCGTGGAAAATAATCTTAGTTGCTACAGCGCCCATGAGAGGGATTGGATGGAACCCAGCCAGCCTGACAAAGGTTGACAGGATTGAATTACTACTCTGAACACGTGGCCCACTGATTTGAGGCCGCAAATGAATCTTTCACCGTACACGCGTATTCGAAAACATACCTTTTTGCGTACCCTAAAATTGGGCGTTCACATGAAGAAAGCAAGACACCCCGGGGACCTCTAAACCCTAATCACATTTTAATTTTATTGTTCTATGTTTATTTTTCCTTCTCCTCAGATTGGTTTGGTCAATAAATGAGCTAACCTATTAAAATATACATGCTAATAAGTAATAACACACATTGTTCAACTTGATCAAGAAAAGCATAAATGGTAGCCGGCCACCATATTGCTAGGAAATGCTTTTCCTTTTTTCAACTCCAAACGTTATGCTTTTCCTTTCACGATCGACCACCACCTAACCAAACGCTAGGAAATGCACTTTGCAAAACTACTTCGCTTTGCGTGCTAAAGTACCATGTTTTGAGGTTTGCTTCCAAGGTGAACGACTTTGAGTTATTGATCTGTGGGAGATACGTTGCAAGATTCGCATAAACAAAGAGTCGAGGTATTAGCAATTGTAAGTTGTTTATGTTAGTAAAACCTACCCACATTGTAATCGACAATTATTCATATCTATGTGGACGACTTAGAACTACATTGATTTGTTGGTTTGTGCGAGACTTGTTGTGAGATTTGCATAAATAAATGTTCAACTCTAACCAAAGAGAATTATTGTGTGATTGACTCATCCTTATTAACGATATTAACTGATACTCATTAACGATATGAATCAATTGCATGTATAACACATGAGGATGTGTTGAATCTTTAAGATTAACCCTTATCGTTTTAATGCAGATTAAACACGTGTGCAAGTTAATTATGTTTAGTGATTAAGTCATATACCTATCTAATTAGGAATGCAATTTGGGCAGGTGTACTTTTCCAAGTTCTTTGAAGTGAAAGCTATAAACATCCTTTACAATTGGTTCTCATCACATAATTTCTCTCTTTCAGAAATTTGTATTTGTGAAAATGATTGGTCCGAGCCGAATTCTACATATGCATGCAAATGGAAGGCACGTGACACATTAATATGGATTCAAATTGATATATCGATGCATCAGTTTGTAGCACAATTGAATATTCATGTATTAATTCACGTTCTCGAATTTGAATCCCTTCTTCCTCTTGCTTGCATAAAAAAAAGAGTATGAATAGTTAGCTTCTAGGAGTCGAGATTCTCTTTGAATCTCTGTATCTGGAGTCCAAATATTTAAAAATCTAGACCGTTGAAAAGAGAGAAAGAGAGATCCGAATTCTAGGTTTGTGTGAGATGGGTCATTAGAATATGCTAATGAAAACTGAAAGTTTTAAATGAGTGGTCCAAATTTTTAGATCGGTTGACTCCAAATACATAGATTTGGAAATGATCTAAATTCAACTTCTAGAACTATAATCCATAATCAATTGTGATTTGTGGTGGTGATTGATCCACATTCTTACTCCCACTCAGCTAAAATATATTTAACTTTGTATTCAAAAGAAAAAAGTAGGAAGAAAAGGCTGCATATGACTTTGGAAAAGGATTTAAATGAAAAATTAATCTTCTTTTTAGGGTATTCACTGAAATTTCTTTTCTGGTTGGGCCACGACCCACGAACATAAAAGCTATTCAAAACCCTTTTTTTCTTTAAATCACACCAATGAGCCGTAGCCACGAAAGAATCCTAAGCTTTGGGGACCTAATGCCATTTGTCAACTACTAGAACCATTGCCTAGTGGTTGTCTAATTTGATTAGAAGGGTTATATTCTACACGAAATTATATTTAGCATTTTTTATTGGAAATAATTTTATGATTAGTATTTAATTTGGTGTTCCGAAGCAAATGATATGTTAAATATTTTAATCGTTAAATTATAAAAAAAAATTTAACGGTTAAAGTATCCGGAATACTAGATACTTATAACTTTTGTCTTATGAATCATGATCATTGTGCTCATGTATTGTATGCGGTATTTTGTTCTGATATTTTTTGGTGGGGCTTTGGGGTCAATATCATATTCATGGGGTATGTTTTTTTATCAAACCATTTGCCCTCTCTTTAATATATTTTGCACGATTAAGTTCAATTTTCAAGTTCGAAATTTGCTTTTTTCCTTATATAATTTTAGTGGAAATTGTCATGGATGTAACTTGTATAATTAAGTTTCCATTAATTTCTTTATATTTTAATTGTTTGAAGGATAATGTACTTTACGAAACATACATTTTCATTTACTTTTGATGGTATGCATTTGTGAAAATTTTATCATTTTCTAGTGTATAGTATGCAGCAAACAATAGAATATAAAGTTATTTCCTTCTTTTGGTAAAAAAAAAAAAGTCAAAATCTTAATAGTAATTAAAACTCCGAGTCTACGATCGTATTCTTATAAGGGTAAAGCAAGAGAAACAAAATTTGTAGACAAAATTTACAAAATAAATATTTGTCACCAATAGAAATAAACACGTTTATCAATGCTTAAGTTATAATTCAATCATTAGTTTCTATATTATTTATTTTACAGAATTTTATCTACAAATTAGATTTCCATCATTACCCTTTTCGTAAAGAGTAATCGAAGAAGTATGTTTTTCATTTTGCTTTTGTAACGTTGCATCCTTTCATGGAAGGAAAAATAAAGGTGACAGAAATATTAATTTAAGTTAATTATTTAGCTCAAACTTGTTAATTAAGTTAAAGTTAATCACATTAAATTGGTTTTAATTTGCTGGGATCCTTTATGCTTTTATAATTGATTTATAGTACTATTAATACAGCAAAAACAAAACCCATCAACATCAGTAGGGCACTGCATGTTTTTTCACTTCTTTTTATAAATCATTTAGGCTACTTTTTGTCTTTGCTTCGAGTGGGAGTGTGGAAATGCAGAACATAGTGTGTGTTTTATTCAAATGAGGCACGTCATGTGAGGACTTTACGAATTGGGATTGGTTTGAATTGCTTTTAGGATTGTCGGTATAAATTTTAGAACGCCAATGAGTACGTTTTGACTAGGTTTTCTATTGGCAAGTACGTTATATATATTTTTAAATTGTTAGAAATATATCAATAATTTGTGATAAAAATAAATAATAAATGCGAACAACTAATTAACAATGTATGAACAATGAAATAATATTAAATAGAAATATTGAAGATCGAGACTTGCGTACACCAATGTCCTTGAAACAGAAATTTCGTCTTTACTTAGTGTTACATCTGCTTTATCAGGATTCAAAGATCAAGTTAGAATTCCAGCAATGGAAAACTTGACTTCTGGCGAATTTTTGTGTGGTTCTCTCAGAAAGGATATTTGTGATTGTAGAAGAAGAATGTTGATTTTCTGTATTATAAATGTCATGTATATGGATGTATATATAATAGGTGTATGCATATTCGCAACAGGTATGAGAAAGTGATGTATCTGTTGGGAGACATCTTCTCTATAAGGGTGCTTTGCTCTCTGCGTTCTTTTATCACTCTTCACAAATTTCATCTGAAAGGATGAGTATGTTGATAAAAAATAATAATTAATTAAATTTGAAATTAATTAAAAATAATTAATTAAATTCGAAATTAATTAATTAAATTTTTTAATTATTAGAGCCCAAACCCCAAGGTCTAAGGCCCATCTTTTGATAATTAATTATATATTAATTAGCACATCCCAAAGCCCAACCCCAAGGGTAAGCCCAATTTTATTCTCCAAGGTTCTTCACTCCAATCACTTTCTATAAGGGATAAAACCTTATAAAGTGAGAAAACCTTTTGGTAGTGACCAATGTGGGACAATGAAATTTCTACTTGAAATTTCCAACAATACCCCACATTTGAGTTGAAATTTCATTCAAACACCACCAATTTACTTATAACACCCCACATTTGAATGCAAATGTATGACTAGGCTGCCTAAAGTTGAGAGAGAATAGACATGATATGCAGCTGGTGAAGTGTCTTTTGGACTTGAACTTACCCTAGTGAAAACATATCGGGTTTACTTGGTGACGTAGTGAATGTGAAAGATCTTGAACTGTTAACCTTAGTAATAAACCGAGACAATATGCTACACACATATCATGTCTGCTACACATCAATTCATACGGTTGTGTTCATTTTGGCTCCAAACAGATCCCGGATATCGTAGGGAGCTTTAGAGAATTTAGTCATTTCAATTCTCATAAATGCGGCCCCATTTACTCCTATATAGGTGACATTAATTAAGAACAGTCTACCATATTTCTCTTGATAACAAGATATTAATGTTCTTAAATGTATAAAACATAACCCCTCGAACTCAACAGACAACACACACTTTATCATAAGAATGGGTAAGTTGTGTGTTCAACTTGTGAATCACACCCAATGCCCATCTTTTGATAATTAATTATATATTAATTATCAATTAATTAGCACACCCTAAAGCCCAACTCCAAGGGTAAGCCCAATTTTATTCTCTAAGGTTCATCACTCCAATCATTTTCTATAAGAGACAAAACCTTATAAAGTGAGGAAACCTTTTTGGTAGTGATCAATGTGCGACAGTGAAATTTTTACTCAAAATTTCCAACAAAAATCTCTTTCTGTGTCTTCCAACGTCTTTCTCCACTCCTTTTACTATGAGTTTTCATCTCACAGCCGCATTTTTTAACTAGAGAAATCGCTTGTATTCAGTAAATTTGTTCAAACCACTTTAACCGATTTCCCTACGTGAAGTGAGATTTTTAGATTCATGATAATGATTAATTTGATGGTGGCTTCAACTCAACATCTGCTCTTGGGACTTTTCCGTCTACCTGTTCCATTCGATCTTCCAGCTCTACGAGAGCTTCAAGTAACAACTAGTTATATTCATGGTGGGCTCTGTTGCATGTAATGGCCTTAAGAGCTGCCATGTGGTTTATGCCTTGGTGGTGTTTAGCGGCCTGAAGAAACGTCCAACTCCGCCACTAATTTACAGAGCCAAGCCTTATCTTCGAGACTTCTGGAAACAGTAGCAGTATATAGCCTCATAGGACGCAACACCACACTCAAAATTAAGATATTTAGTACATGTCAAGGGTACACAATTGTAGTTATCTATACTACACACACACACACACTACATTTTTTTGCAAAGTGTGGCTGAAATTGATCGGCCACACTCTTGTACTCCAATGAGATGGAGTTTTGTGGCTCATCCGTGGGTTTTGAGCTATCGCCACTGACCACCAGTGTCCTTTGAGGAAGAATAACCCACAACTGATGAATGGCCTTATGTTGGTGTATAACCCTCCATCCGATTTCTTGTGTTAAAAGAAATGTTTGAATTTCATTTTATAATGTTTTTCTTGAGATGTATGGGAGTCGTTGGATCATAGTTCAAACGGCCTCTTAACATTTCTTTTAAGTGATGGATTATAACAAGTGTAAGCATCTCATAAGATGACTAAGAGTTGTTTCGATATAAAAGAGAGAAAGATCTCCCTTCCTCTCTCCCGTAACGGTAATATCACACTTCTTGTATGAAAGAACAATGCAATATACACATCATCATCTCCTACATTCTCTCTACAACTATTACCAGAAATCCAAAATGTATAAATCCTTCTTTGAAGCTCAGAAACATAACCATAAACACTAAACCTTGGGCCACATTTCTATTAGTAAAGAGAAATTAAACAATGTTGTGAAAATCACTTTTTATTTTCGTAATGAGAAATTTTTAGAGTGCTAAGTGGCATACTACAAGTAGTTGTAATCATTTTTTCAAATATCTAACTACTTGTATTATGACACTTTATATATCGAGCCGTTCTCCGGCGCACTAAAAAATCGGTGATGCTGGTGGGGAAGAAATCCACTCCGAATCTCTCTCACAAAATCCTAGTGATCTGGCGATTAGGCCCTTGAAATTTGATCCAAAGCCACAAACAAGATGCCCCTAAGTTATACTAATTGTAACAATTTGATCAAATTTTAAAGATCCGGATCCACGGATCCTAGGGACTTGGCAGGAGAGATCCGGATGGAATCTCTTCCCAGGCTGGTGAGAGTAAAAAAGCAGAGTGTAGACGTGTCGACGAGCCATTTGCCCAAATCGCCGTCTTTTATTTCCGTAACCGGCGGAGGAAAAAGTTGGGTCGTCGTTTCCGAAGGCGGCAAGGGAAGCACAACATTCAAGAAAGCACCCCTCATTCTTCTTCCGTGCCCAAAAAACCCTAATACTCCCAACATATTTACGAAAAAACCACGACTGTGAAAGCTTCTTGTCCGCCGGTCAGGAAGGCCATTTTCGGATTCGCAACAAAAAAGTAACCGCTATTTCTTATTTTTTCGATCATTTCTTCCTCCCCAAAAGAACAAACTTTGAAATAAATCACAAGAAGAAGAAAATTACAGTCGCAGTCAGATTCTTCAATTTCCATTCCTGATTAGAAGGTAAGATTTTAACTCATTAAATAATTTAAATCTTTATATTTTTCTGTGAATTATTTCTTTTCTTTTTGTTTTGGTCTAAATTTCTGAATAATCTGTATGTGTTGCTCAAGTAATTGAACTTTTTGATCGCCGTTGTGAATTTATTGCTGTTGAAATTCAGTGGAAAAGAAAGAAATCCAAGTTTTGAATTTTCCGGTTCGATGTTTTTGTTTACCAGAAATATTGGAAGCTTCCTGAAAGTTATGGACTTGACTTGGATTTGGACTTAGTTGACTCAAAGATTCAAACTTTAGTTCATTTTCCTGCATTTTCTCGGAAACCAAACGGAGGGTTATTTTGGTTTTTCTGTTTTCTGTTCATAAACTTTGGTTTAGTTAGCAGATCGTTGAACGTTGTCGGGAGGAAATTTAATTAAGAAAGATATTAAGGTCTGAATTTGATGGGGAGGGGAGTTCTCTGATTGGAAATTTGCAAAACCCTAATAATAATTTGGGATTTTTCCTTTTTTTGGATGTTGATAGCAAAACCCTAATTGCTGGTTTTTGGTTTTTTTCTTTTGGGGGCGGGGGAGGGGGTGGTGGGGGTCTTTCCTAAATGAAACCTTGACTTCCTTATCGTTGTGATGATTAATCGGGAACTGATAAGGAACTTGTCTTTTGAGCAGTTGTACAGAGTTTGGATGAATAACCAGTCTACCGGGCGCAACCAGAGACCCGCCAAAGGGTTGAAGGTGAAACAGGCAATTCAGATTGCATTGATTTTGGCAGTTTGCTTCTGGTTGCTATACCAGATGAAGCAGTCACATGGCAAGGACTATAGTGAAAGTTCAAAGGACAAGGCCAGCGAAGAACGCGGTTCTGATATTTTAGGGCGTAAGGGGAGTGCAGGGTGGTCAAAAGGTGGAGCTGTGTCTGCATCAGAAGATCCGAAACATGTAGGAGAAGTAAGTGTAAAGAAAGAAGATGGGAATGTTGAAGAGAAAAATGAAGAAGAATCTTTGCAGAATGTAAACGAAGCGAATCAGGTTGAAAAGGAAACAGAAATTCAGAACAAAGAATTGAACAATAAAGATGATAATTCTGAAGGTGCAGTTAAAGGAAATGATGAATCGGTGGGGCTCGACAAGAGTTCTTCGCATGAAGAAAATTACCAAGAGGGCCTAGGTACGCAGGCAGTTTTCGCTGATCAAGATGGTGCGAAACATGTGAATCATGATGAAGTAGGAGAGGACAAGGAGCAAATACCACAAGATAAGCACGACGAGCAAGAAAATGGAAAGGGACAAGCTAAGGAGCCAAAGAGATTGGAGGAATCTCGTACCACTGACAAGGAGCCAAAGAGTACAACATACAAGGACATTTCAGTACAACGCAGTGAAAGTAAGAATGACTCTCTTGAGGGCCAAAATTCAGTGGTAGACGGAGTGGTCCATGGCTTTGATGATGTGAATGGCGTGCCAGTAGATGGCCATGATCTCATAGAATCCATAGTGACTGGAACCGGCGGTGATCAAGCAATTACCGGACATCAGGAAATGAATTCGAGTTCTAACAATCAAAGTGAAATCAGCAAAAACGCATTAAATGAAGAAGTTGGGTCTAAAGAAGGAACAACTGGTGCTGATTTGGAAGCCAAAAGCAAAATCTCAGTACAAGGCTCGAACATTGACATTAAATCGAAGGTGGAAACAAGTTCAGACACCTCGAGGATCGATAGCGTTTAAGAGACTACACAGGGGGGCAGTTCCGTTTCAGATTCATAGCAGAAACAAAATGTCATTAACATTACAAGTATCTGCACAAGCAGAAGAAACGAGAGGTAGAAAGTGAGTTGAATTAGTAGCATTTCTTCTTGAGTGACATTGTACAGTCTAATTTCGAGTTTTCTTACAAGTCGTTGGACATTTTCTTGGCCCTAGATCCGATAACAGGTGATAGTTTGATGTCGAATAGTCATACATACGTACTAAAATGTTTACTTTCTCGGTGCTATTTCAGAGATAAAAGTTTCGGTTTCGGTTAATATTACCATTCAAGCTGGTCCTTTACTTCTGCAATTACTATTCTTCTGATTCAGCGATCTCATCATCAAGATGAAGCCTACCATGAATCACTACTTACTAGGGATCACCAAGAGGATAAAAACTTGCCTATAACGAGATGCTAGTATGGCGGCATCCCAAGCCATTTACATATACGTGATAATGTATGATTGGCCTGAGATACAACCGCAGCTGCATCCCAATATTATTGCAGGGTTGTTAAATATGGATTGATAGTGACGTTTTATATATTTTTCAGGTGCATTTGTTGCACCGGACTATCTCGGACTGGATTAACTTGAGGGATTAAGCTGAATTGGCTTAGAATAGACTAACTTAGTGAAGCGTTTGATGCACTCGGACTAAAAAGCCGAATAAATAATATTATATTATTTAATTAATAAATATAAATATTTTATTATTATCCTATATTTTTCCTCCTCTTTTTCTTCCTTCACCGTCACTCTCTCCCTCTTTCTCTCCCTCTTTTTCTCCCTTCTCCGTCCCACCCTTCCTTGTTCTAGATTAGACATCTCAATTCTAGTCTCTATCTCTCTCTTTTTTTTGTCCAACTCCTTCTCGATTCCAATCTCTCTCTCCTCTCTCCCTCGCTCTGGCTCTGTGTTATTCGACAAAACCTCACATCTCCATTTTTTCCGACGAGTTGCAGGATTTCCATCGTGTTTTCCGGCCAAACGTCGTCGAATTGGATGAGGTTAGCACCACCAACAAACTGCTCTCCATCCCTGGACACATATCAAAGCTTTGCTTGCTCGAACCTGTCATAGATTCGAAGAAACCCAAACATGCCGAGACTTCCGGGCCAATTTCCGACCACCTTCGACCACCTTTTAGCCTTGATTCAGGTAGAAATGGAATCCCCTCACTCACAGCTTCAGTTTGGTATATTTTTTTAAGTGTAAATTGGTTGTGAAACGTATTTGAGAGAGATAGTCGAATCGGAAAGTTAACGGCAGTGTGTGGTCGGAGGTCACAAGGAGTGGCCATGAGTAGTCGTCAAGTAGGACAAAGATGAGAGAGATGATGGTCTTAGCTAGTCCCATGGTTCTCGGGGGTACTCGCTAGGACCGGATAGTCCTGCCTTTAGTCGAGGCAAGTGAGAGCTAGTCTCACTAAAGCTAATCCTTGCTGGGAACAAACATGGGACTTGACTAACCCTTAATTTTGTCTAGTCCAGTGAACTTTAACGAGGGCAAACAATGCCCCCTTCTAGTTTCTTCTATACCGCGGAAAGGAGGGAGAATCTTCAAATTCTATCACATAAATTTGAGGAAATCTAACTCAATATCTCTGACGCGTGGTGCTGATCAAAGTTGTTAGGCATTGAGTAGTCCTTATCTTTCTCCAAATTTCTGGTACACGAGTGCTTTGTCTCGTTGGACAAATTCTCTTTTTTTTTTTTTTTCTTTTTTTTCCTGATGGCATCATCTGTCCAATAAACGCTTGTCACGTGATGAATTGGTGATAAGAGAGTATCTCTCGTCTTATTGAACTCTGCTTTATCTCACCAAAATCTTATGACCATAAGTTCATATTCTAGAAATTATATGCACATAGAGAGCGGTGATATTTTTTTTTTTTGGGAAACCATAGAGAGCGGTGATTGGCACTTCAAGAAAATTATTCTACAATTGTTCACACGTAATTCTTCGAAGTGTTTTTATTAGAAGGAACGGGTGCATTGTGAAGTGCAGATAACAGCTCCCATACAGATGAAGCCTCTATATAAAGCCTCTTGAGAGACATTCTACAAAGCATCCATTTGTTATTAGCTTTCTTGTCCTGCAAACCAAATGGTGAGAAACAATTGAAATGGGAAGGCAAGGCAAGTGCAGAGCTAAAAGGCCCCAAAGCAGAGCAAATTTGGCCTCTTTTGGAGACTTCTTTGGCTTGCACAAGTGGTTCCCAACTCTCACAACTTGCCTTGGTGTTGAAGGCACACAGGGGGTAGCTGGGTGCTTGCGGTTCTGTGCTGGAGTCAAGACTCCGGTTGATCATAAAAGTGACCAGAACCAAGACCAAGAGAAGGTGAACTGGACTAAGCAGAAGCTGCTGAGTATAGACCCAGCAAAAATGACATATAGTTACTCTATCATAGATGGGAATATTGGGTTTAACTCGTACATTTCGACCGTTCAAGTGGTGCTGAAGGACGCCGGGTGTATGATTGTGTGGAAGTATGAAGTTGAACCAGTGGAGGGATTGAGGCTGGAGGATCTGGACCTGCTCATTGGCACTGGTTTGCAAGTCATGGCTAGCAGAATGGAAGCCTCTCTTGAACTCCAAGTTGAATAATTGGAAACACAAAAGTGATTTGGTAGAGAGAATGGCAAGTGATTTGTATAACCCTGCAATAAAACCGGCAACAAAATCCAGTAAGGTTGATAAGTTGTCGGACTTGTAGCTCTAGTCGTTAAGAGTAGTTACCCCTGTTTCAAGGTGGATTTGGATTTTACAATATAGAGGGATGAACTATGAATATGAACAAAAAATATACAACGGGTATGTCAATATGGACCCATGGAATACTCAGTCCAGGGCAGAAAATCAACGGTGTGCGCTTTGCGGTAGCTTGATTGGTCTCTCTTAAAAAAATTAAATTGCTTGTCATCATTACCTTCTGAGTATGGGGCCGTGGCCTGTCAGCTGAAATTATTTTTTTTACTAGCTTTATTGGTAAAAGGTGAAATACAAAATCTCTTGAAAATGGTTCACTTTGTGTCACTCTTTTCATGATACTTGTGTCTTTGTTACATAAGGTGCGTTTGTTATACGGACTGTCTCGGACTGGACTAGTTCAGGGATAAGCTGGACTGACTAGCTAGACTAAGCTGGACTAGCTTAGTGAAACGTTGGTGCAGTGTCGGACTAAGAAGCAGGATAATGAAAACAGTATTGTCACTAGTTTGGTGTTGCTCAGACTAGGACTACATTATTGTTTGTTTTAATTGCTTTTTATTAAAGTATTATTAAAATTAATAATATTAGATGAGAGTGAGACTCAATAAAAATACAAAAACCAAATTCTCTTGCCAACAAAAAGAAACATACATGATTCAAGAGTAGCATTGGCGAACAAATCATCCATATCCTAAAGTTTGTACATTAACAAGATCCATGGAAAAGTTGAGAGAAAGTTTTTGTCGTTAGACGCAAAGGGGATGATACCAAGATAGAAATCTCAGTTCAGGTATAATTAGGCCTAGATGAATTAGCCATATATATATTTTTCATTTATATATATAGAGTTGACTGAGAGTTTGAGATGAAACCAAACTCTTCAAATTAAAACATAACAGATAACTAAGACTAAATACATAAATTACAAAATTCATACTTCCAAGATCGTTGACACTCATTCAAACTAAGTTGAAACATTATGTTGCATGGATTGGATAAGATAAGAGAACCATTTGAATTTAGTTTCGGCAGGCTTATAGCTTATCAGGAATGGAACATCGTGGATATAGGCTCAGTAGTTTGGTCCTTTTGGCTTTGCATTTGCTTACTCTTTTAGCTGCATTTTCATATCACACCTGGCCTGCGTTTTGGGTAGCAGTTGCACTCTATCTTGTCGTAGGAGTGAGTGTAAATCTCTCTTACCACAGGCAACTTTTCCCACCAGAGATTTCAAAGCTTCCTAAATGGCTAGTCCAACCTGATACCAAAAGTAAGCATATGCAAAGATTAGTTCATAAGCCAAAAAAAAAAAACTTGAAACTCTAGCATATGCAAAGATCATTGTCTTCCTCTAAGTCTTAACAGTTGCAGCTAAGAACTATGATGCAACAGAAAAACCGACATGAATGGTCTCAACTATTGCATACTGACAAAACAGAGCTTCAAGATAAAAGCCATAGCTCAAAAGACTAAATCTGAAACGAAATGCAGCTTTCCGCTTGCGTAGAGTTTCAATGCTTCAAATTGAAAAGCCAACTACAAAGCTTAAAAACGAAAACTTACAATGACAGAGCTTAAACAGCAGCAAGACTACAAAAGTACATGCATAATTACTGTATACTAACAAAATCAAGATACAACAAAGAATATAATTTATATGATAGTAATTCGAGCAAAGCACAATCCTTCAAGGGTTCATTAAAAAGGTAGTGCTGGCAGGAAGACATGTAATCAAATCACCTCCAGTGAACGCCTTCTTCAAGGGACGATGCAAACTTCTCATACACTAAACATGACTACACACCAAATTTCTAAAAATACATTGTTGAGAAACAATACAACTTGTCTAAAAACAAACCCATTTCAGACAACCTGACTAAATGATACATTGTTGAGAAAATCGACAACATGAAATCTACGAAGAGAAGTACAAAACTACGTCCAGTAAAATGTACATAAGGAGCACAGAATATGTCTCCCAAAGAGAAAAACAGACACTAGTCAAACAGCTGTTTCCATCCCAACTCATACAAGGGAGCATTGATTTGCTACTCATAACCCCTAAACCCAATATACAACTCACAATTACATATTATACACAGAGAGTAAGGAAAAAAATACATATCGCCCACCCAACAACGAATATGTGAGAATCATCGCATTATGAGGAATAAAAGTGATATTTTCAATCTCATGATCACGAAAAAGGCAACGAAATAAAAAAAGAAAGAAAAAAATACACAAAAGAAAGACAGAACAAAAAACATCAACTCTATGGGACTCATGGCAACACCCCAAATATGGGAAAGGACCACAGAAAGCATTCAAAACTGCCACTTTTGCATACCATAAACTAATATGACCTTTCCTTTTGCCAAAAAACCCTGCCAAAGATCACACTGATTTTCCAAAAAGGTATAAGCGACTGCAAGCATTTCCTTTCCGCATACATAGTATTCATACCCCCAATCCTTTCTTTTCAAATATTAAACTGTGTATAAGAAAATGGTTACTTCACAAAACGTTGATGAAAGCTTCAGAAAACGATTACTCACAAAATTTTCCAAAGAGAAGCTTCCACTATGTTAAATATTCACTAGAAAACAAGTGGCACCCTCAAGGGCTGAAGAAATGGTTTTCCTTCTAGGTCTAGAGTTGAAGAAACGGTTTAAATATTCGAATACAAAGCTCGAAAAAGATCAAGTATGATCACAATAGGTAGAGAGGCCTCTTCTTAAATCTTAGCTCATAGCATAATTGTTCAACAACCATCAATCCAACTAGATACCTCGTCGTCACTGCCAATACAACACCAATCATCCTGGACATGATACATCCCTAATCCACTACTAAGATCTCCATATAAGGGTGAATTTCTCACACATTACACTCGAAGAACCACAAAAATTGAAAACATCCATAAGCTGCGAATGGATTCCCGAATGTCAAATTCTTCATAAGTATATCCAAAAAACAAGCTGCAGTTAGTGACCCAGTGCCATTCTACTAAATTTGATAATTATGAATGTTGGATTATAGTTAATCACCAAAAACCCTAAAAAAAAAACTCAAAACTCCCATTGAAATGCATAAACAAAACCGAAAGGAATGAACAAAAAGCAATTGAATTTGGAAAATTAAAAAATTACCCATTGAAATGCAAGGCAAATGAAGCTCACCTGATCAGACCACTTACAGCGATATTGGTCCGTCGTCGATTGTTTATATGTTGGACGACTACGAGGTGGTACGACAAGGAAGGAGAAGGGAGAGGGCGAAGGTGCGAAGGGACGAGGAGCAAGCTGCAGTTGCTGCGGTTGATGTGCGAATGTGCGAATGTGCGAAGGAGAAGGGAGATGACGGGATTAAAGGGCGGCTTAGCAGTCCTCTCCGAATCGGGGGTTCTCGCTAAGGCCTGTTAGCGAGGGACTCAGTCGGGCGAGTCCCTGCTAATCCCACTAAACTTAGTCCGGGTATGGAACAAACACAAGACTGGACTAAAACTTAGTCCAGTCTAGTCTAGTGAGGGCTAGTGATGCCAAACAAACACACCCTAAAAGTATTTTTTTTACATGACGTTGTATTATTGAATAGAAAACTCATATGGCATAAATTGCTCTTCTAATTCATGATAAATTAGAATATTTTGAGGATTAGGCAACATAATCATATCCTAGGAGGATTGTATATTTTTATCCTAAATTCCCTCATAGATACACTCGATAAGGAATAACGTCCTTATTTCATTTCTTCTATAGAAATATCTCTGTATTTGTATTTCTTCACCATTGAGTGAGACAATTAGTTTATTAACTAAGTTAGGAGTGAATGTGAGTGAATCGAAATCTCGTTCAGAATGAGGAGTCAATGAAGGTTTGGTTGTGGTTCTATTCCCATACAAGAACTCTCAAGATCTATATACAAACCCTAACTTGGATATTCTCTACAATTATTTGATCTGATATGATCATCTAATAATCTTAATATGCATTCCCCCGCCTTAGCCTTATTTGATAAGGATAGTTCACATATAACAAACACACCACTCTTGCTCCAAAATCATACCCGCGATTTGATTCTCCTTGGAAATATATAGGCAGTCCCTTAAGGATTCAATCACACTCTCCAAAAACAATCCCTATTCACCGCTCGCCATTGTTCATGGGAGATTCCGATCAACCATAGACGCCATCGGTGAGTATGCGCCAAATTGATTCCAACAGTGAACTCTCAACTTACTCATTACAAAATACAAATTAGTAAACATATTAGATCTGAAAGAGTACGGGTTTGAATGGAGAAGAGATAAGATTGGAGGATTTGTAAGAGTATGGGGTTTAGTTTCAAACAGTTGCGGCATGGATGGTGGACGAGTCAGTCAGTCCAAGTGGGTAGGGTTTCCGACTTCAAGCCTCCAAAAGGTGGTATGAAGACTGAAAGCTATGTAGATACTCAAGCAACAGCAACCACCAAACCAAAGAGAGGGGGGGAGAGAGAGAGAAGGGCCTACCATGTTCGGAGAGAAGAAAGCAGAGAGAGAGAGTACTAGTAACCATGATAATGATGGTCTTCGCTTCAAGTTTTATTATTTTATATGATTGATTGATTGAACATGGAAACTTGCATTAAAACATGGTTCCACATTCATTTCTTTTGTTTTTTCTCATGGATATTTTCTTTTATCTATCTTCTTTGTGTGTGTGTTTTTTTTTTGGAATAAATAAATATTACCGAAAAGAATATGAAATAGTTGAACAATGAGTGTCGTATCGAAAACTTTGGCAGACATACAAAGCCACATCGAATGATTTCCTTACGAATTAGAAGGGAATTCTCTTTCCTCCTAATTTCACTTACATTTTCTCCCTTCCTAATATCTCTCTTTTCTCTCTTCTTATTTGAACAATTACAATTAAATCATGTTAACATCTTCTATTGATTTTTTAATTGAGACAAAAATACAAAAAACAAAGTGTGAGAGAAG